TTCTTTGTTTATAAGGCCAAAAGAAAATAGAACATCTGTGGGCACGGAATAGTGACAGTGATTGTGCCTTTACAGGTATCATGATTCCGAGTGCTTTTGGCACAATAGCGTTATTTTTCTACCAAGTTGATTTTATATCTGCTATATACACGAACATGTCTTCAATATTGTATCGATGCCATTTGTTGTTATTGATGTAATCCTTAACTTTATGGCCAAATTCGTAACAAGAACGTAACTAATATGGGGATGTGATTTGTATTTTTTTTTATTTTTTTTCAAATACCCTCAAGGTAAGTACATTGAAGAGGGGAGAGAGCTGTAAAATATTAACTATAAAGTGCACATATTAATAATAGCATTTTTAAACATAACAATATCAGTGATGTTAGCAATTGAGGCAGCAAGGTGGTTCCAGTCTATAGATGTTTGTGGCATAAAAGAATATTGAAATAATGAAGTTTTAAAATTTGGAATACCAACCTTATGGCTATGATCAATGCGAGCAGATATGTACAGGGTGTCACAAAAGAAAATTTACACGGTCTTTTTTACCGCAAAAATAAACTAGGCACCGCCGAACGCTCATTCTCCGCCCAAAGGTAGAGCTAGAGGTCACAACCAGATGCCAAAGTTCAGCCCGATCCGATAACTTAATCAAAAGTTATAAGTGATTTCTGAAAATTTCAATGGGAAAATGGAGCCCATTTTCGTCCGTTTTCGGTTTCTGGTGCAATAGAGCCCCATGTATTTGAAAACTCCGTCGGCCGCCATTTTCCCATTGAAATTTTCAGAAAATCACTTATAACTTTTGATTAAGGAATCAAATCGGGCTGAAACTCTGGCATCTGGTTGTGACCTTTAGCTCTACCTTTGGGCGAAGAATTAGCGTTCGGCGATGCCTAGTTTATTTTTGCAGTAAAAAAGACCGAGTAAATTTTTTTTTGTGACACCCTGTAGAATGGTGGAGTAATTAGTTTATGACGAAGGGTAACATTTTGATGAAATATTTTATGAAAAAGACACAAACGAGAGATTTTTCGGCGGTGAGTTTGTACCGGCAGACCTAAAGTATTTTTCATGGTAGTGACACTGGCAGTGCGATGATAGTTTGTCAATATAAAACGAGCTGAGCGGTTTTTAATGGATTAAATCAGAGCAATTAGTGACGAGTGAGCGGGGTCACACACAGCAGCAGCATATTCTAATTTTGGACGGATTAGGGTTTTGTACATGGCTAGTTTTAATGAAGACGGAGCGAGGAAAAAAATTCTTTTTAAGTATCCTAACATACAGTTAGCACTGTTAATTACGTATTCAATATGAATCTTCCAAGAAAGGTTACAAGTTATATGAACACCAAGATATTTGTAAACAGACACTGAAGTGAGGGGATTATTGTTTAGATGATAAGTATGACTCACCGATTGAGCACGTGCTGCTCCATTTGCTCCAACTTTCTGCCTAAGCACTTCTCCTGTTGCACTTTGCTTCAATCCACCAAAAGGCGGAGATCCTGCTCTGGCGTTGCGCCGAAAGTGAATTATAAATAGTGATACTAATCGCTCCGCTGTATACACTGCCGGTTGGTTACGGTATGTTGATGATCTCTTCGACTAACGCGCTCTCTCGTTTCAAGAACCGACGGTACTCGGACGTTTCGCCGTATTTCTCCTTGTCCGAGGTCCATTGAGGCGGGTTAGTTAGCCCGTTGAGCGCGCTTCTCCCCGCGCCTGGGTGTGCTGCGGAGAAGGGACACTGCGGAGTGGAAAGCATAGCGAATCTGCGCATTTTATTTCGCCGCAACGCCGCCTGATGATTAGGGGGAAAACACTCCTCCAGAATGGTCTCGCGCACGCGCGCATTAATATATATATATATATATATATATATATATATATATATATACGGTACAAGTGAAACTGAAAGCGAAATTAGCTGGAACTGTGGACGAATGGAATCTTTTGCATAACCTTAACCAGTTGAGCTGGATTTTTTTCAAGAGTTTAGGTTTAACGCGTTTCGTACGCTACTTTTGCTTCATCGGAGACTCTCCATGCAGAAGTGCCTGGATATCCCCAACGACCAAAAGCTTTCTTTTCCGCTGAATAAGCCCCTTTCAAATGTTTATCGAGCAACATTGGCGGTCACCATTGCTTGCTCACGAAGCGCCTGACTAAATCCGAGTCGACGCCGAACCCTAACGCAGGCCTCGTGTCCACTACATACTTAGACTATGTGAGCAAGAAATGGCGGACATGCGTTGGCGCGTATATATATATATATATATATATATATATATATATATATATATATACATCACAACGTTTGAGTTGAAATGCGAGTGTTCCGGGAAATTTTAATATCTGACCCTTTACAACACCCCATCAAGCAACATTGGCGGTCGCCATTTCTGGGCACGGAACGTGTGATTGGATCCGAGTCTTCGCCGAACGTTGACGCAGCCCTCGTGTTCGATACGTGCTCCGCTTTCTCGTGGGTAGTGGACGCTACTGGGTGATTTCGCTGCCGCCGAAAGGCGTTTTCTCTCAGTGGGACTCGGGTCAACGCATGACTACAGTCTGTGGAATGTAAGCATTGCAGTAGGGGCTCCGCTTCCAGCGCGAGCTTCTTATAGTTTACATAGCGCTTTGTGGCGATCGCACACCCGAAGCGCGATGAAAGGCATGAAGCGCGCGTGCTGGAGGCGGAGTTTCTTCTGCAGATCTTAAGTGGTTGCAGACTATCACTGTATTGACGGAGACATGGAAGGGAATGAAGAAGTTTATACAGGGTGACCCCCCCCCCCTCCCCCCCCCCTCAAACAAATGTTTTTTTTTGTTTTTTGTTTTTTTTGCCGCGAAAAGATATTGGGATAAAGGAAAGCAACATGAACGGCGGAAAGGAGGAGGACAGGACAAAACATACTACGCATGGACGGCCGCTCTGTTTTCGCCCAAGTGTAGCGCTAGCAGTCCGGACTGGATGGCAAAGTTTCAGAGCTTGCCGTTGTCTAACTCAAAAGTTAAAGCGATTTTCGCTCATTTTAAATGGTAAATCGACGGCCGACGCAGCCACGAATAATGAGGATGAATGGCGTCTGCTACAGGAAATGGGCCCCAATTTCCCGATGGAGCTTTTAAAAAATCGTTTCTAATTTTTTTTAAAAAAAGGTAATGGTTTGTTGTGAAGCTTTGCCATCTGGTCGTGACTGCTTTTGCTACATTTTGACGTGCGCTGGGCGTTCGGGGATGCGTAGTTTATGCTGCGCAAAACATCTTCTTTTCTTGTGTGTGTGTGTGTGGGGGGGGGGGGGGGGGCATATTGTACTTGTGCTTCAAAGGTTCTTTTCGCTAGTCCAAAACGGACTTTCGGCTTGGACCAATCACATCACTGCTGCGACAACGAAAACAAAAATACGTGTATTGACAAAGATTCTTAGCGACTCACACAACCTAAATATGTTAAACTATATTAGATATAACCATGAGCCCCAAGCAAACGTGCTTTGTGTAAGAACCCGACATACGGAGGGAGGGACATCAAGCTCCTGAGTGGCTAAAGGTGTGCTATATTCATTAGTTTCGGCATTAAAGTATAGTGACTGTTCAACAAGAATAATAATTAAAAATACATTAAAGGAACCCAAAAGTTTCAAACGTTAAAAGAAGGAAGGATATTGAAAACGTAAAAATATCGGTTGGTTGTACAATAATAGAATTAATATTGAGCATACATCTTTTTTCTAGCGTGTGCCTTTTTTTTTTTTAAACTCGTAAATGCAAAGGGCGTTGAAAGAAACCCAATTTAAAAAATACAACATAAAAAGAAGTAAAATCTTAATAGGCCGATGTCAGCAAGTGTTCGGCGCATGCGTGAAGCCGCTACAGCTTTAGTTCACAGGAGGCAGGTGTCAGTTCCCGACACGGCTCGTGACGACTAGCCATCTGCACGCGCAGAGCTTTATAGCGAGGTCGTCCCACGTGCAGAAAGACCGTAAAGTTCCCTTCGTGCACCGCGACAGTGGTGGCGTAGCCATACTGGCCGGCGAGATTGGTATCTTCTACCATAGCCTCCTCCATACTCCCAAAGCCTGGCCGTTCGACGACGGTGCCATAGAGTTCCCGGTCGCAGATTTGGAGTGCGAGGATCTGGTAGCGCAGTGCATCAAAGAGTCATTTCTTGGGGAACCTGGACGTCAGCGCACAACCTTTGCAGCGGCGTCGACCCGAAACAAACTTGTTCGCTCGGGAGAAGGCTGTTTCGGCGTCTCGCCGCAGCGGGGCGCCAGTCACGTGGCTCTCCTCTCATCCGTTGTCCGCCGCTCCACCTTTTCCATTTCGGTAGCCGCTTCTCGTGACGATCTGCCAGGCTGTGTCAGTATATATGAGACTATGGTTCTACCGTCAAGTCGTGACGAAGTGTGACCAGGAAACGATAGCGCACTAGACATTATTAAAATGTTATGGGAGCCCCGAGTGCCCGACAGTCGTGGCTCTTATACTCCGTTCCACTTCGAACGCACCCGATGCTACGATCCGATGACGTATCTGGAGAGTTTCTGGGAACCGTTTTTGCGCATTCGATACGGCACGATGGGTCCTCCCGCACGAGCTACGCATATGCCACCGCCGAAGACTCGCGCATGCGCAGTTCGCACCGGAGGGCCCATCGTACCGTATCGGAGGGGCAAAAACGATTCCCTAAAACTCGCTAATCAAGCAGCGCCACAAATGCATCGTCACAGCGCTCGGTGTCTTTCTGGGTTTTTCCAACCGCCGGCTAAACCAACCACGCACAAAAAAAAAAAAAAGGAATAGTAGCAGACGGCGTTATGAACGGCGTGATGCGCTCCACATCTTTCGATGGCTGGACGACTCTGCTCCTGTTACTTTGTTGTGGAAGTGCTTCTTTCCCCAAGCGCTCGGAGCGGGCTCTCCGTTCGGCGGTTCTCGTTTCGCGGACTACTAAAAGTGGCGGTCCCGCGTTTCCCGGCGCAGATGTGGAGATGAGCCATGGGCAGGGGAGCAGTGGCGGGGGCGGAGCTCCGGGTGCAGATTACGACTACCTCATCAAGTTCCTGGCGCTGGGCGACTCCGGGGTGGGCAAAACGAGCTTCCTCTACCAGTACACCAACGCCACTTTCAACAGGCAGTTCATCTCCACCGTCGGCATAGACTTCAGGGAGAAGAGGATCGTACGTAAACCTTGCTTTTATTTTTCCTCTCTGCATTTTTTTTCTTACGTTCAGTTATTACTTTTTATAGCCAATGTCTAAAGGCTGGTTAACACACTTGCCGTTTCTTGTGACCGAGTTGCCTTTCGCTTTCTCGTAACCTTTTCACACTATAGAGAGCCTGTACTAATCACACGGACGAGATTTGTCGTTAAGCCCTGAAACACTTCCAGTTTGCGTATATAGATTTTTTTCTTTCTTTTTTCGCATCATTTTTTACTGTGAGCTCGACAAAATCCTAACAATGTTATAAGCGACCGTTTGTAACAGATTGTGCGTAGATTCGATCTCTCAAATAGTGCACAATCCTTCAGTTTATTTCTGCACACGTCGAAAACATGTTGCAGCTATAGGGCCATACCTCGATAGATGGCGCTGGAGAACGCATCGCACTTTGCTACAAAAAAAAACGCACACGTGTAAGCCAGCCTTAAGAAATCCCAACCGTCTTTCCCGCTAACACGGGGAAAAGCCAGTCGCTGCAATCTACGGAGAGCGCTCAGCGAATGGAGGCTGGTGATACGGTTAGGCCTAGAAAGAAAAGCCAATCCCTGCCCTCCGTAAATGGCAGCGATTGGCTTTTCCAAGTGTCTTGCGGGAAAGTAGACTTTCAAATTTTTTTAGAGTGCACTGATAGCTTAATCAGCGAGGTGCGTGGTTAGTCACACGCATTTCATCATCGCTGCGCTGCCAATGGGATTGCGTCATTAGCTTTAAGAACGACGGAGAGGCCAATCACGAAGCAAGAAGAAGCGCGACAGTTATAGGACCCGCTCCGCGTTTCTTAAACTGTCCTTGATAATAGGTGGCCAGGCAATAGTGCTGTATGGTGTGCGTCCCGTGTTCTGTCGGCGAGAAAACGAGTTCTAATACTCGTGTCCCACTATAGCGACAGGCAGAAGCAAACCACAACGACAAGCCTCAAACCCGAGTCTTTCGCGATTCGGGAGTCTTTGTACAATAAAGGATGCTATGCTGAAACACGAGCATCATGCACGCGAGGGTACCTTTGGCAGGCAATCGCTCGTGCTTACTTCACGAGCACCGAACGACTATACTTCGTTTCACCTTATCTGCGAGCGAAGCCAAAGGTAGAAGCGCGAAACCAGCGCTTTTTGCGTTTCTCCCCAGCTCGCGCGCTCGAGCAAAGCCTGAACGCACGGAACTTTCGCGCTCGCGCTTCCAGCTTTGCCTTCGCTCGCACATAAGGTGAAACGAGGTATAAACGCCTTCCAAATGTACCATCGCGAGCATGCTGCGTGGGTTTGAGGCTTGTCGCTGTCTTTTGTTTCTGTCTGTCGCTCTAGTGGGACACTGGCATAACCGAAGCCTGACCGACGCAGCGCTCGTGTGCCATGCCATATTCTTCGCTACTCGCTGGCTTCCGGTAAGATGGCGTTGCCTATAACTACACTTTTAATTGGTATCGAAAAATTCCGAGGACACCTAAGCGCTTCTTATGAGTTGTGAATGCTAAAGCAGGAATGTCGTTCTTCCGCTCGTCTGCGGTGTACTGGCGTGGACGGCCACGTTTCGCTACTGCCGAGGTTGCGACTGGGGAGTCGGGACCGGCGACCGAGCGCGCGCTCTCGTGAAGCGGCCGCAGCCCCCCCCCCTTCCCTTCCGGCAACGCATGCCATGAGAGCGGCGGCCGAGCACGCGCTCTCGTGAAGCGGCCGCAGCCCCCCCCCCTTCCCTTCCGGCAACGCATGCCACGAGAGCGGCGGCCGAGCACGCGCTCTCGTGAAGCGGCCGCAGCCCCCCCCCCTTCCCTTCCGGCAACGCATGCCACGAGAGCGGCGGCCGAGCACGCGCTCTCGTGAAGCGGCCGCAGCCCCCCCCCCTTCCCTTCCGGCAACGCATGCCACGAGAGCGGCGGCCGAGCACGCGCTCTCGTGAAGCGGCCGCAGCCCCCCCCCTTCCCTTCCGGCAACGCATGCCACGAGAGCGGCGGCCGAGCACGCGCTCTCGTGAAGCGGCCGCAGCCCCCCCCCCTTCCCTTCCGGCAACGCATGCCACGAGAGCGGCGGCCGAGCACGCGCTCTCGTGAAGCGGCCGCAGCCCCCCCCCCCCTTCCCTTCCGGCAACGCATGCCACGAGAGCGGCGGCCGAGCACGCGCTCTCGTGAAGCGGCCGCAGCCCCCCGCTTCCCTTCCGGCAACGCATGCCACGAGAGCGGCGGCCGAGCACGCGCTCTCGTGAAGCGGCCGCAGCCCCCCCCCCTTCCCTTCCGGCAACGCATGCCACGAGAGCGGCGGCCGAGCACGCGCTCTCGTGAAGCGGCCGCAGCCCCCCCCCCCTTCCCTTCCGGCAACGCATGCCACGAGAGCGGCGGCCGAGCACGCGCTCTCGTGAAGCGGCCGCAGCCCCCCCCCCCTTCCCTTCCGGCAACGCATGCCACGAGAGCGGCGGCCGAGCACGCGCTCTCGTGAAGCGGCCGCAGCCCCCCCCCCCTTCCCTTCCGGCAACGCATGCCACGAGAGCGGCGGCCGAGCACGCGCTCTCGTGAAGCGGCCGCAGCCCCCCCCCCTTCCCTTCCGGCAACGCATGCCACGAGAGCGGCGGCCGAGCACGCGCTCTCGTGAAGCGGCCGCAGCCCCCCCCCCTTCCCTTCCGGCAACGCATGCCACGAGAGCGGCGGCCGAGCACGCGCTCTCGTGAAGCGGCCGCAGCCCCCCCCCCCCTTCCCTTCCGGCAACGCATGCCACGAGAGCGGCGGCCGAGTACGCGCTCTCGTGAAGCGGCCGCCAATGGCTATCTAGAAGCCGTTCTGCTCAGGCAAGCAAGCTTTTTTTTAAAATATAGAGGTATGGCGATGATTATTTTGTCATCGCCCGCCTAGGGAATGAGCTTACGGACCAGATGGCAGCTGAAGTGCTCGGCACGTTTCCGTCCTGCTCTAATGGTTCAAATTTCACTCAAGAGAGGACCACGGATGCTGGACTTAAGAACCTTGGTCCAAGAGAGGTGTGCGCCCTTTTAATTCCGCTCACTCCAGGTTAGTATAAAGAAGTATTGACTCTTCATGCCTCGGAGCTGCTCTGAAAACATCCTGTCCCGACGAATTGGAAGGGAGCTTCCTTCTACAGGTCGATTGGCTCGTGAGTGCAAGCTTTCCGCTAAAATCGATTTCGGAAGCTGTAGAGGGCCCTACAGAAAGATTTAGAGGTACCAAAAGAAATGGTGGTGAACGCCAAAAAAATGAGACCTGCCGTCGTCCCTTACATTCACGCGGTCCCTCATAACTTAAAAAAAAAATGCAGCGGAACGTTAGGACGTTTCGTGTTCGTCTTTTCAGCCCGGAATAAACTCTCTGCGTCATGCAAAAAAAAAATATCAATGATCCTCAGGGGGATCATTGATTTTTATAGCCAATGGAAGAAACAGCAGAATATTACCCTAGTTACACGGGCGCTTTGAACTATCGTTGAGTTCAATCACAGTTATCGGCCCCAACTGTGATTGAACTGAACTGAACTGATATGGTGCTACACGGCTCTTTAGAACCCAGTTGAAGCTAAAACGAAACTAGCTATTGTGCCTCGTGATCAGTCTACTTGTTAAAGTTATCTACTCAGAGAAACATATTTTATTTACTATAAGTATATCGTACATTATGTTAAATACCTTGTTGCTTTTTAGCGGCATTCACATCCGTACCAAAGCAGATTCGGGGCTAAGTTGCGCATATTTTAGGCTAGGTGGGGCTAGCTACCACCCGCTACGATGGGTGCACCCATTACTATCTGTTCATTCACACAGCTAATCCCGCCGCCATCTTCGCTCGTTCGGTGGCTTGCCGGCTAGCCGGGATCGTTTTAGCGGCAGCTCGGACGCCTAAATCTATTCCTTCCCGGATATTTTGCTGCTACGGTTCTTTTTAGACGCCTCCCCCTGCATTCCGAAACAGTAAGTGCCTCGGAAACGATGGTCGGCGGCAGCGGTCCCGCGGACAGGCGCCATTTTACCTCAGTTGGGGAAGTCCGTTCATTTGAACTGAGGTAGGGGAGCTCAGTTGAACTCAACTGTCATTAGCGGCTCGATGACAGTTGGCGCCGCCGTGTAACTCCGGCCGATCGCGATTGAGTCAACTGTCGTTGACTCAATGGCAGTTGAAAGCGCCCGTGTAACTAGGGTATAAGTCTGTGGTATGTCAAACCGGTGTTGTTTATGACGTACCGCTTCCCTGCGGTGGCTCCTACGTAGGCCAAACAGGCCGTTGTGTGAATGATCGCGCGAGAGAGCACCCTGCTTCCTTAAAACTGTCACCTTCTGGGCATAGGCAACCTGCAATGCTGTTTGGTTTGGCGCTATCTAGTGACTGAAACAAGAAACATTGGGTATCCTTGGTACTGGCGGCTGCATGGTTCAAACGTGAGCTATTACTCTGGTGGCGCCGCTTAGGCCTAGTGTCTGCAGCAAGAAATACTGGGTAGACCAGGAAGCCGTGATCGCATAACATGCCAGTACGGCGGAAGCTACGGCCCTGGCGGGCCAATCGGGACGTGACTATGTATCACCGGAGTGAGCTTTTACTTGGAAGATGTATCAGGCATTTCGCTGCGTCATGTTCCAATCTGTGTACGTTGGGCTCGTATACGTTGCGCATTTCGGAAGCCTTCGGCACGCAATGTGGGGCTTATCGGTGACCCTTTGTCAAGTTATAGCGAGAGAGGATATAACCGTGGGCTCTCACTATGCTGGCGCCGCCTGGCTGTCGCCGGCTGGCTATTTGGCTGTGCATTGCAGCTGATATGTGTGTGCAGTGTTCAGTGACATTGCTATCTTGGGGCGTCACAGCAAAAAGACGGAGGGAAATTCATGAAGCGTATGTTATAATACCAAGGATGCAGATAAGTGTATCAGTGAGCCTCCCTTGACCCTGACAGATAAAGAGCGTTTATTTTTAGAGAAAGAGTAGGCACGTGGCAAATGACGTGGAGTGTTTGAAAGTGTATTTA